TTTATTATTTTTATTTTATGTGTATGTGTGTATTGCCTGTGTGTAGGTAAGTGCACCTGTGTCGTGCAATGCCCGCGGAGGTCAGAAGAGGCTGTCGGATCCCTGGGACTGGAGTTATTTTTAAGTAGAAAATACTTATGAGGTTATGAATGCTCTTTGGGGTGACATTAAAGGAATTTTACTTGCCAAAAACTATACTTAAAATTGAAAGGCAAATAATACATAGGAAAAATACTAACCACACCAAGGTCTTTTCTCTTCCCACAATTTATTTTTTCAGGAAGGAGAGAAAAAGAATATCATGTCTAACATACCGCACATGAATTTGTTGCAAATGGAGGTAAAATCCTCACCAATTATTTTCTGTATGATTTTAACAGAGAAACTTACAGGAAAACAAGTAGTCCTTTAGAAAATCATAATATGTGATTCTAAATATGTATAGCAGCTTATACAGTAATGCAGATATATACAAAAGAACACCAACTCTAAATGCAGGGCCATGCCCCAGCATCATGGTTGGTATACAGAAAGCACTAAATACATGTTCATGAGATAAATGAATGGATGGTTATCACACCTGCTTAGTCCTTTATGAGTATTACAAGTACACATACATCATACAAAAAGCTTGAACCTATAACTGTTTTGTCAGGATCTCATGCATGTTCAATGAAATAGGATACAGTTAGCTTGATCTTCAGGCTAGGACTACTTTGGTTTCATGTGGATGGTTATATGGAAAGGTATGAAGTATCTCTCTCTCTCTGTCTCTCTCTCTGTCTCTCTCTCTCTCTTTCTGGTTAACCTAGGTCAGATCTTAAGGAACAGTGATTTCTCTCATACTCTTCAGACATAGTCCATCCATTCTATCAATCACCTATGTTCGTATACAAGTCATAACACAGAAGGAAATGCCATTCAACTAACCTCCCTAAATCATGATACATATTTTACAATAATCTTTAGGAAAAGAGTTATTAGCCATCTATTCCTGCATAGCTCACATAAATGGCATTAGAGAGTGGGCTGTTGGTCACAAGTGAGGCTGAAGACTTAAAACACTCCTGGTTGGTCCTTGAGCAGTGGATCTTTCTCCTGGTTGCTTGGGAAGAACGAGGCTTTTGCACGGTTGAGGAAAACACTCAGGCCTTTGCCTTTGACCATGTTCCCAGCGCAGTTTCCTATAGGCTTGTATTCCTTGTGTTTTCTGAAAACAATGTATTGGACAGTGACTTAAAAAATATCCTGAGCTGAAATAAATTATGTTACTACAGTTTTTCATTCCAGGTACAAAAGAGCTAATTCCATTTAATCCAAACTGTGGCTTCTAACACAGCAGCATCTTAAGAAAATGAAGCTATCTTCTCTTCAAGCAAGAAATGTGTCTGCTCAGTGTGATTTGAGATCATGTTAAGCATTATACAGACACAATTTTGTAAAGTTACTGACATCTGGTAGCACTTTCAGGATTATAAAAAACAAAACCACAGCAAAATTAATAGGTCCCAGTTTGGTGTTCCTGGTTCAGTGGAAGAGCTTCTCATCCACAAAATATTTAAGAGTAAGAGAAAAGAAAAAAGATGGTACATTTGTCTCTGACAATCCACTGTAAAGACAGTATTAGAACCAGAAACTTACTTGTACAGAAAGGCAGTAATCACAGTGATGAATGCAGCCAAGCAGCCGACGAAGATCAGGGCACCACTTACTGTTCTCAGAGGGAAGGCTGAGTCTTAAAACAGAAGCAAGACCAAGTGAGTTATGTCTTCCATTAGGGGACATCTGCTTGTAATGCCATTAAATAAACGAGGAAGGGAGCTAGCACTGAAGACAGATGCATCACTCTAGGTTTTGGGTAATCTTTTCCATTAAATAATACATAGACTATGGGTCAGCTTATCTTCCATTTAGAGAATGAATGTGCATGTCTGGAACACTGTGTTAGGGACCCGGGAGCGATGCTACAACCTGGTAACCCCTGCTCAGGACATGGATGACCTGTGGCCATCCAGGTGCTGAAGGGTTCCCATGCTCCACTACACGAGCTTCTGGTGTCACCTCACTCTACATACCTGCCACTACCTCACTATGCATACCTGCCGCTGGGCTAAAAATTCTGCAGCTGCCTGTTTTCCCCACACTCTCAAACACACACACACACACACACACACACACACACACACACACACATTCCCTGCTGGGGCTGCCCTTCCCTGGCTATCTCAAGACCCCTCATTTTTGGCGTCTTCCTGGCATTCATGAGGGCACAGGGCACACCCTTGTCTGTCACTACTTTGCCTGTGTTTTCCCAGGCCTGGGTGGCATTGTGTGCCATTATTTCTTTGCATGTCTCTCCCACTACACCATGAAGGTCATAAGGGCAGGGGCCCTGCCTTCTCTCTGTTCTGTAACCCAGCAAATCTACCAGTTCTGACTTCACCCAAGGTACAGTCAGTTATCTACTTTTCCTCCATCTTCTCCCCAACTGTTCCCACTCCAGCCACCAGGCCTCTCCTAGGAGGCCCTCTTAATTGCTGGAGTCTACTTTTACAATCCTCTCCCCACTGTGCTCTCAGATCGTCTGAAAGTTCCAGTCAGCCCATGCTTCTCGCCTGCCAGGGCCTCCCCCTTGCATACAGAATGAAACTCAGACCCCAACATGGCCTTTGAGGATCTAAATGCACTGCTCATTTAAAAAAATATTTTATTTATTATTTTTATTTTATGTGTATGAGTGCATTGCCTGCACAGGTAAGTGCACCTGTGTTGTGGAGGACAGAAGAGGCTATCAGCTCCCCTGGAACTGGAGTTATGGACAGTTGTTAGCTGCTATGTGGGTGCTGGGATTTGAACCCAGGTCTTCTGCGAGAACAACCAGGATTCTTAACCACCAAGCCATTCCCCCCCCACCCTCAACTGCTCATTTTCAATTTAGGTCTTAGTGCAAAGGAAGCCCCCTCACCAAGATAGTGCCAAGTCAGGAAGACCTCCCCACTCCCGATTCCCAGTGCTCTCCTCACCCTCCCTGCCTAGAGCACCCCTCTCTCTCCTCTGACCTGGTTTGTTTTCTTTGAAATACCATCTTGTTAATTTGTTTACTGCCTGTGTTAAATTAAGCAGGAAGCTACTGGCCTGAGGCTGATTAAGTGTTCCGAGTTCTGATCTAACATACAGGGAAGTCATAGGTAAGCAAACGGAAACCTAACAGAATATTTTGTAAAAACAAAAACAAAAACCCAGCCAACCACAAGCAGCTCACTGATGAACTCCAGGCCCATATAGGGCAGCCGGTTAGCCAGAACCACTCAGTGATCACCTGGCTTCCTGTGCCTGTTTAGGCTCCCTGTTCAGCTGTAGGCTTCTCTGAACTTCTGACGCCAGTACTGCTCAGTTCCATGCTTAAACAAACTGTTAAGGTGAATTGGTCCAAATGTTTTCCTTTAACATCTGTTACCGCTCAGAGAAGGATAGGCCTTCCCTGTCTTGTTTCTTAGCCATTTCAGACTTGTAACTTGTGCATAAAACCATATTGGGCATGGAATGGACTGCTCAGTGATGATCTGTTCAGAGAACTGCAGGCACTCCATATGTGTTCACTGACCCAATCAGTAAAAAGAATCTCAGATAAAAGTCAATGGGTTTGCTTTGGAACTGTGACTATTTCCAAAATTCTGATGCTGAAATCCAAGTTAGCAAATTATAAGACTCACTGGATTAAAATCTTTCCTTTTGACTATCCATCTTGTGTGTTTGTGCTTATGTGTTATACATGTGTACGTGTGTGTGCAGGGGTGTACACTTGTATGCACATGCATGTGGGGGTTAGAAGACAACATCAGGTACCTTCCACTTTTTGTTCAAGATAGGCTTTCTCGTTGGCCTAGAACTTGGTCAAGTAGGCTAGACTAGCTGGCCAGTGAGCTTCCAAGGATCTGCCTGCCTCCACCTCCCATCCCGCTACTGCTGGGATTACAGCTGCACCCAACACTCCTGGCTCTTTATGTGGGTTCTGGGGATCTGAACTCTAGTCCTTGCACTTGTAAGATAAGCACTTCATTGACTGAGTCATCCTCCTAGCCCTCTTCTTTTTTGAGTCAAGATTTTGCTATGGGCTATATATACCCAGGCTGGCCTTAAATTTGCAATCCTTCTGCATCAACTTCCTAAGTGCTTGGAGCATAGGCATGTACCACCATATGCCTAGTGAGTGTTCTTTTTACTTTATTTTCTTATGACGCTGGAGATGGAACCCAGGGCTTCACAGCCTCACCCATGCTAGGCAAGTGCTCAATCACTGCAATATGTCTCTAATCCCTTTTATTTGGGTTTTGAAAACGGCTTTTCATACCCAAAGTGATAGATCACTACAAGAAAAATTATGGGAAGCTACTAGATAAACCTGTAATCCATACAAGAGATGAGCAGTTTACTAGTGCTGGTGGAATGAACTACGAGTCTAAAGGTAATTCTGAAAGAGAGCACTGGGGCAGCCCTAGAGGGGAAACCTCGACAGTTCCTGGCAGTCAGGACACTGAAAATCCATGGCCACTGAGCACAGAGGTTCTGGCTGCCTCAGCGTGTCCTTCTTTTCCCAAGCTCTCTGGCAGGCGCCAATGTACCCTGTCCTGTAAGAGGCAGGATGTGCCAGATGTAGTGGTGCACATCTTTAATCCTAGCAGTTGGGAGGCAGAGGCAGTTGGATCTCTGTGAGATAGATGCCAACCTGGTCTACAAGGTAAGACCCTGTCTTTGCAGGATGCCTTTGCAACTTTGTTCTTAGTGCTGAACCTTGGATCTCACCACAAATAAGCTTTCCTACAAATAACTACAGGCATTTGCTGCATGATGAACAACATCCCAGTCAACAGTAGACTGGATACACAATGGTAGTCCATGAGTATAAAGTCCATGAGAGTATAAGGTACCTAAAAACTTCCTCCTGCCTGGTGACATTGTAGCCATTATCACATCATAGTGCAATGCGTTATTCATGTATCCATGGTGATACTGGTATAAACAGACCCGTTGCCCTGCTCATCATACAAGACAATTAAGCACAGCAATAATACTTGATAATAATATGGCAAAGATTGCTACTGGTTTGTGTTAATCACTATCTTATTCTGTACAATACTATACTATGACTTTTATTGTTATTTTATATTTTACTTATTATTTTACTTTATGTGTAATAGTGTATTGCCTGCATGTGTGTAAATGTACCCATGTTGTGCAATGCCCATAGAGGTCAGAACAGGGCATTGGATCCCCTGGAACTGAAGTTACGGATGGTTGTTAGCCACCAGGCAGGTGCTGGGAACCAAACCTGGGTCCTCTGTAAGAGCAGCCAGTACTCTTAACCGCTGAGCTATCTCTTCAGCCCCCCTTTTATTGTTATTTTATAGACTGTACTTCTACTTATAAAAAACAGTTTATTTATGTCAAGCCAGGCATGGTGGCCCATGTCTATCATTCCTGCATTTAGGAAGCAGAGGCAGAGGATTGCTACATGTTCAAGGTCAACCTAGCTATATAGTGGAATCTAGGCCAATTACACAGTGAGACCCCATCTCTAAAGATCAAAGGGTAAAAATGAAAAACAGTGTGTCATGTCAGGCAGTCAGCAACCTCATACACCTTGTATTTACTGTCTCTTGATTGTATCAAGAGGCCACTCGGAGTAAGTAGCCCTGATTACCTGGGTCTGTCAAAATACATTCTAGGATGTTCCCACAATTAAACTGCCTAGGGATACGTTTCTCAGAACATGTCTCTGTCACTGAGTTGCATGCATAAAAGCCAGTCATACAGATAATGAAGGGTCATATGCTCACGATGGCTTAGATGTTCCTTTCAATGGGGTTTTAAAAGCTGTTCTTTATGTTGATGGATAAACATGTAAGTACATTTTACCTTTTAAAGTACGCTCCAAGTCTAAAGAAGTTGTGGGTAAATTAGTCATTAGATTGTACCTGATAGTATTTAAATCAAGGAGTAAATTAGTGCAATGTTTAACCTTTCCCTCTACCACACCATTAGTACTTATTAGACATAGGAAGTCTTTTTACAAAGTTGCTTGTAACTAAGATTCAGTTAAAGCCACCAGGTAGAGCCCAATTTGGGGGTTGGAGGAAATTGGCTGCCACTAGTAAATGCAATTTCTAAGTGAACTTTCTTAGTTTTTGTTAACTTTTAAAAAAATTATTGCTTTTTATTTTGTGTGTATGAGTGTTTTGCCTGCATGAATGTATGTGCACCATGTGCATGCAATGCCTATGGAGGCTAGAAAAGTGCATTGGATCCCCTAGAACTGGAGTCACAGACAGTTGTTAGCTGCCATGTGAGTGCTGGGAATGGAACCTGATCCTCTGCAAGGGCAGCCAGCACTTGAATGAGCTCTCTAGCTCTCTAGGCCCTAGTTAACTTTTTTAAAAATTAACTTCCCAAGTGTTGGGAGTATAAATAATAGGCCTTTCTGTTTTTTGTTTTGTTTTGTTTTTTTGACTCAGGATCTCACTATGTAGCCCAGATTGACTTTGAACTCATGATACTCCTGCCTTGGGTGCCTGAGCACTGGGATTAGAAGCAAGCAACATCAAGCTTGGTTTAAAGGGTTGTCTTCCTGGTGAGAACCTCCCCACTGGGTAAGTCAGCTGACTTCTGTCTCAGTGTAATGCTGGGTAGACGTGGGGCAGACAGAGAGGATGTGGGGGTAGTCAGCAGGAGTGAGGGAGGCTGTGGGGGTAGTTAGCAGGAGTGAGGCATACACCCAGTTTCTCATGCCTCTTGGCTTCCTTTTTGCCCAGGTGGGCTCTCCTAAAACCCTGGTTTCACCCTTTCCTTTGTTACTGTCTTTGGAGAAACCTGTCTTTTCGTTTGTTTTAATGTTGGGTTTTTTATTTTCCTCTGGAAATACAAATCTTGTCTCCAGTGTAGTGATCGTATCTCACAGCAGATGCCCTATTTTCTATAGAATTTTTTTTTTAGCCACTAGTCTCTCCCTCATCACTTTGCTAAGTAAATTTGTGAGATTTTAATACTAGTTCTCAAATCCTTTTTAACAGTAGTTCAAAGACTCTTGCACTGAAATAAACATTGGTGAAGACGCCCTCAAGGGCTTTATTATTAGGTGTACACTTCACTGCAATATATTGTGTTACTTAAAGTTGTAAACCAAACCTCACCTTTACCAGGGATGGAGATCAGAGTGCTGGTGAGGGCCATGCTTGCATCATTACCCAGAGTGACGTTCACACAGTATGTGCCAGACCCGTTGAAGGCTCTTCTCACTGACAGCAGGCACCGCTCATCCACAGCCACGGGGCTGCAGGCCCTGCTCTGGGTGATCTGGCAGGTGGGATCAGAAATGCTGGTGCAGACCTCCATGGGGGTGCTGTGAGTTGGGAGGGGTGAAAGCATACAGATCACAAGAGGAGAAAAGACTAATGTCAGAGTTTTGTTGGTTTTTGTTTTTTTTTTTTTTTTTTGGTTTGGGGGGGGTGGTTTTGAGGGTTTCTTTTTTTTTTTTTTTTTGACCGAATTTTTACTTTTTTTTCCCGGAAGGCCTTAGCTCG